ATAACGACAACACCATACATGGTTCCCAAAAGGTTACCAAATCTCAAGGTCCATTACCACCCCCGATCTACACAGCCAGGAAATAGACAGGGGTTTTCAAACTATGGGTCCCGACCCTTCAGTGGGTCATGAAATAAATAAATTGGGTCGCAAAATAAATAAGAAAATAAAAATAAATGCACCATAATTTAGGCTTGGTTATTGTAATGTACACTCCACAGTCTAGGAAGCGACTGCAAGGAGAGCATTTCATTCTCTACCTCTCATGTCATCCGTTTTGCGCAGAAAAACTCGTTTGATTTTCTTAAAATAATATTTTTATTTTCATACAATTGGATACATATAATTCAAATATAAATGGATCATGAGAAATTTACATGAATTTTGTCGATGCTAAATAAAGGAAAATTGTGAACAGTGTTTGTCTTTGATTTACTCATTTCATATCATTACACTTAGGTTTAATGGGTCGCAATTCAAATTGTTGTTCTGGCTGTGGGTCGCAGTAAAAAAAGTTTGAAAAACACTGCAATAGACAACCTCCCAAGACCAGCATCCGCCAGTAGGGTCGGCGGAATATATATATATATATATATTTTTTTATTTTATTGGGCACTCCCCTACATCCTTGTGTAAGGTGAAGCGCAGAAGTGTTTACAGTGCCCAACAGGGAAGCATGCTAAGTTCATGCTTGCCTTTATGTCTCATGAGTTAAGGGCGTAGAAGCCTAAAGCGTCAAGGGCATAGAAGCCTGAAGAGTCAGTGGTTTATGTCATCAAGTTATTGGAAGCTCCAACAACTTCCCGAATACGAATTCAACTTCGATTTACTTCAGGTACCTACTTACTGCTAGGTGAACAGGGACTAATGGGGGCTAGGAAGTATGTCCAAACAACTTCCACCGGCCCGGGAATCAAACCCTGACATTCTCGCTTGGAGAAGGCAAGTGGCACCACTTACCACCAGCAGCCCCGGCGGAATATGAAATAAGGCCCCCAACACACCCATATATGGGACAGGTAGGATGTCTAGTGCCTGTACCGACAGACAATAACTAACCCATGACACAACCAACACACTAGCTTATTAGGCAGTCAGCTCCTCTCTACCTCCCAAATTTCTTCAATTCAAACTATAATCTCTTCCCCACCTCTAACCTTATCACCCCTCCTTTCACAAAAAATGGTGAGAGGAGGGTGGTGGTGGTGGTGGGGGAGGAGGAGGTGGTGGTGGTGGGAGGAGTGGTGGGGTGGTGGTAGGAGGAGGTGGTGGTGGGAGGAGGGTGGTGGGAGGAGGGTGGTGGTGTGGTGGTGGTGGGAGGAGGGAGGTGGTGGTGGTGGGAGGAGGGTGGTGGGAGGAGGTGGTGGTGGGAGGGAGGTGGTGGTGGGAGGAGGGGTGGTAGGTGGGAGGAGGGTGGTGGTGGTGGGTGGGAGGAGGAGGGGTGGTGGTGGTGGTGGGAGGAGGGTGGTGGTGGTGGTGGGAGGAGGTGGTGGTGGGAGGAGGGTGGTGGTGGGAGGTGGGAGGAGGGGTGGTGGTGGGAGGGGTGGTGGTGGTGGGAGGGGTGGTGGGAGGAGGGTGGTGGTGGGTGGTGGTGGGAGGAGGTGGTGGGAGGGGGAGGAGGGTGGTGGTGGTGGGAGGTAGGTGGTGGGTGGAGGGTGGTGGTGGGTGGAGGGTGGTGGAGGAGGGTGGTGGGAGGGGAGGGAGGGGTGGGTGTGGGGGAGGGTGGTGGTGGGGAGGAGGGTGGGTGGGAGGTGGGAGGAGGTGGTGGTGGTAGGAGGGTGGTGGTGGTGGTGGGTGGAGGGGTGGTGGTGGTGGGAGGAGGGTGGTGGGAGGTGGGAGGAGATTGGTGGTGGTGGGAGGGTGGTGGTGGTGGGTGGAGGGTGGTGGTGGTGGTGGGAGGGTGGTGGTGGTGGGTGGGAGGTGGTGGTGGAGGGTGGTGGGAGGAGGGTGGTGGGAGGGGGGTGGAGGGTGGTGGTGGTGGAGGGTGGTGGTGGGAGGAGGGTGGTGGGAGGAGGGTGGTGGAGGGGTGGAGGTGGGTGGTGGTGGGAGGGTGGTGGTGGGGAGGGTGGTGGTGGGAGGTGGGAGGAGGGGTGGGTGGTGGTGGGAGGGTGGTGGTGGTGGGATGGAGGGTGGTGGTGGTGGAGGGTGGTGGAGGAGTGAGGGTGGTGGAGGTGGGAGGGGTGGTGGTGGGGAGGGTGGTGGTGGGGAGGAGGGTGGTGGGAGGAGGGAGGTGGTGGTGGGAGGAGGTGGTGGTGGGGAGGGTGGGTGGTGGGAGGTGGGAGGAGGGTGGTGGTGGTGGGAGGGGTGTTGGTGGTGGGTGGGAGGGTGGTGGGAGGGGTGGGTGGAGGGTGGTGGTGGTGGGAGGGTGGTGGGTGGGAGGAGGGTGGTGGAGGGGTGGGAGGGTGGTGGTGGTGGGAGGGGTGGGTGGGTGGGAGGGTGGTGGGAGGAGGTGGGGGAGGGTGGTGGTGGGAGGTGGGAGGAGGGTGGTGGTGGTGGGAGGGGTGTTGGTGGTGGGTGGAGGGTGGGTGGGAGGTGGTGGTGGTGGGTGGAGGTGGTGGAGGGTGGGAGGGGTGGAGGTGGTGGGTGGTGGGTGGGAGGGTGGTGGGAGGAGGGTGGTGGAGGTGGAGGGTGGTGGTGGTGGAGGGTGGTGGTGGGGGGAGGGTGGTGGTGGGAGGTGGGAGGAGGGTGGTGGTGGTGGGAGGGTGGTGGTGGTGGTGGAGGGTGGTGGTGGTGGAGGGTGGTGGTGGGGAGTAGGGTGGTGGAGGGGTGGAGGGTGGTGGTGGTGGAGGGTGGTGGTGGTGGAGGTGTGAGGGGGGTGGAGGGTGGTGGTGGGAGGAGGAGGGTGGTGGTGGAGGTGGTGGTGGAGAGTGGTGGTGGAGGGGGTGTGGTGGGAGGAGGGTGGTGGAGGGGGTGGTGGGGGTGATTTTGGGTACAGTGCAGACATACTCCCTCCTTCTCAACCCATCTGACATAACCTATCCTTCCCACTCCATTTCCCTTAACCCCTGACATCTTGCTGCTCCCTTCATTCTCCTCCTTTACACCTCCATCCTACCTCCCACACTCCCTCCATCCTACCTCCCACACTCCCCTCCATCCTACCTCCCACACTCCTCCATCCTACCTCCCACACTCCCTCCATCCTACCCCCTCCCACACTCCCTCCATCCCTCCCTCCCACACCTCCCATCCTTCCTCCCACTCCCTCCATCCTCCCTCCCACACTCCCTCCATCCTACCCTCACTATCCTCCTCACACCTCACAACACACAGTTCACCAGGTTCATTACGTGTTCGTAACAGCTCATTAGACCTTCTTAATGACTGTTAAGCCTTAACTACCCAGCCAGGCGTGTGTTGAGTGTTGGTTGGTTCCTGTTTACGTAACCTAACTCCACCTAACTTAATATATCCTACACCACCTGACCTGACCTGACCTAACCCAACCTGCACTAATTCGACCTAACTTAACCTGACTTAATCTAAACTAACCTAACCTGCCTTGGAACTAATTTCACCTAACCTAACTCAACCTAACTTATGCCTTTACGTTTTAATCAACAGGTAGATAAAGCAAGATGCAGGTCAGGTCAGGTCAGGTCAGCTAGGTTCTATGACACCAATATTAGAAGCTTAAAGGTCAACAACTTCTTGGCATGGCTGAGTGAACACCTGCGGGGTCACCACACCTGCCGGGTCACCACACCTGCCGGGCTGTCGGGTCACCACACCTGAGAACGGAATCTAGAATGATATTTTATTTCTCCGATCACCTGAAGATAAGTCACCCCAGGTTATTTCACCTAACCTATATTAACCAAAAGTAATTATCTAATTTAACCTACCTTATTTAACCAAGCCAAACCTAATCTAATATAACAAAACAAACCAAACCAAACCAAACCAAACCTTAACCTAACCTAACCTAACCTAACCTAACCTAACCTACCCCACTCCGTCAAGTAGCATTAGGGTATTTAATCAACAGGTAAAATCAATTAACAAAAACCTCCAGGTGATCCTTCAAGAAACATGGATACAGTTGATGGTCAAGTCTCAGTGTTGCCTTGACGCCATCTTGACTGGGGTAACTTAGTTCACTAGTCTCAAGTTACGGGAGAAATGCGTCGTAGGGATTTTTTTAAGACCCTGTGTGTGGTGTCAGGTTAAATCAGGTTAATGAACTGGAAGACTGTGGCAACGACGGGTTTATAATCGATAATGAGGGAGTTAAGTAAGAGTTGGGTGTGTGTGTGTGTGTGTGTGTGTGAGTAAAGACAAACACTTGGTCCGTGGAGGTGTTATCGTTCAGGACATATTAGGGGTAGACGACTGAGGCTGCAGATTGACTTATGGACTCAAGTAGTTTCCCAGCCACCACAAGTATTATCTGACAGTAACAGTGACACTCGCCGCCTCCTCCTCCTCCCTCTGATAACTAACTGTGCCCTCCCCACCGCTGGTAACAGTTGTCCTTCATACTGGATACTCGCTAAAGGTGGAATAAACCTGCCTGGCTGGGATGGGTGGGTGGGCGGGCGGGTGGGTGGGTGGGTTGTTGGTCATGTTTATATATACCGCGAGGAGGAGGGAGTCGCCATTGAGGACAGGCGGCAGGCACTACCCCAGGGACATTTATACGTGTACCCCAAGTTTTCGGTCGAGGTGGAAATGCTTCGTCTCTCTTAGGGGTAAATCTCTTCATTATTTTTCATCTAAGGTTCATATTACTCTATACATAAGTTAGGTGTGTGAGGTACAGGTGTAGTGTGTAGGTGACCTTGTTCCTGAGATGATGATGTCAGTACGGAGGTCACGTTCGAGGTCATTTGTTTGCGCGCGAGCCTGGCATTCCTCGGCTGCTTTGTACATGTGGTGGATGTCACACGCGCGACTTTTACTGCCGTCGAAATCCTTATGTTTGGTCCCGTGAAGTGTGACTCTCGCGGTACACAACTTAATACACAGCACTAAGCGTCACTTAACTCTCAACATCTATGGATAATCTCCTCCTGGTCTTCGCCACAATAAACAACAAGTCAACAAGCAAATCGAACATAAACAAGACGTCACCCCAGCAGCGGCCCGCACCCCAACATCACGGTCCACAGCTTCCCTTCACCTTCACTCACGAGGACCACACCAAGACTGAGTAATGGTGGACATAACAAGGGAACAGGAGAGTCCACAAGTACCTCCTGGCGGGGCGAGATACAAGCGACGCGACCAGCCAGATGCTAGTGTGATAACCCGGCACGTCTGGCCAACCCACTAACGTTAGTGACTTGTCCTCAGTAGGGCTACGTCCTCGCTCACACACGGACGTGCGCTCCGACTCTACCTCCTACTGCCCCTGCCTCGTGGACTCCTACTGTTGCTTCTGGCTAGATGGGGGCGACGCACCCTCCTCCTATCCTTCCACGAGTACTTACATCAGGAGGACTGTCACCCGCATTCTACTGACGGAGTGGCGTTCACCAGGACGGTGGTGGTGGTCCGCGGAGATAATAATTATGATCCATAACGAACCAAGTTAATGCCTTACGAGAGAAAATAATAACACGTGTAAGTAGTGATTATGGCGACAATATTGACACATCTGTTTACTAACTGATAACAGTGTTCCAAATAATGTTTATTGAGGAACATCCCAAGGTGATACTGTCCAGGAAACATTTGAAGTTATCTATTGCTTTATTTGTCGTCATTAAACAGAATGTTGACAGTGATCTATAATTGTTTACCTGGAGATAAAGTTATTAACTCTTTACACCTGACAGACAATGACTCGACAGATCAAACTTGTAAGGAAGCTTCAAGTTAATACAGACCACCAACACAACAACCCTTCACCTGACACTAGTACTGTAACCGACAGAAATACATACAGGTTAATGTTAAATTTCATAAACACCTCTCAAGCATAGAGGTACAATGACACAGTAAACAGAGTGTGAGGTACTATAATGAGCTTTCACGATATAATGAAGCAGAGTGAAGTAATTATCTCAGGTGACATGACTCCTTAATTAATTATTCCGTTCAGGTAATGAGAAGGATTTTGAGAGATAACTAACAGGTATGTATGTATTTTTGTATGTGTAAATACATGAGTAATCGTTTGTATAATAAAAATAATAAAAGACTATAACCCTGTCGTTACACACAACCCTACACCACAGATCACAAGCATTGCGTGTGTGTGTAGGCATGCACGCGTGTTTGTGTGAGTGCGTTAAACAAGATAATGACAGAAGCACGAGTGACTCAAGACCAGTGACAGGGGGGTGATAAGAGACCTACCCAGCATCTTGATGAATGTGTGTGTGTGTGTGTGTGTGTGTGTGTGCATGACCCGTCCATCTCACCTGCCTCATCATTATTAACATCTAACACATCTAGCGGCGGTGTATCTAGATCTTAAGTGAAAGAAAAAAGTTTTATATTGAAAAAAAAATATTTGAGTGAACAGGTGAGTGACAGGTGTTGAGAGCAGTACCTGGTGCAGAGGACAGGTATTAATGACAGATATTGACAGCCATACACATTGTTCAGGGCCTGACAGGTGTTAAGAGTACTTGTGTTTGATGAGACAGGTGTCAGCCAGTGTGTGTAGTGGACCGTGTGAGTTAGACCAGTGTGTAATGGACCGCGTGAGCTGGACCACATGAGCTGGGCCAGGGTGTAGTGGGCCAGCGTGTAGTGGACCACGTGAGTTTGGACCAGGGTTTAGTGGACCACGTGAGCTGGACCAGGGTGAAGTGGGCCAGTGTGTAGTGAGCCACGTGAGCTGGACCAGGGTGTAGTGGACCACGTGAGCTGGACCAGGGTGAAATGGGCCGTTTAATGCACTATATGAAATGCGTCCGCATGAGCTGGACAGGGGTGTAGTAGACTTGCGTGGTTGGACTCAGGGTGTAGTGAACCGCGGTTGGACCAGGGGTCTTGGTGACGTGAGTTGAGCCGGTGTGTAGTGGGTCACGTCAGGCTGGACAAGTGTAGTAGACCGCGGAAGGTTGGGCCAGGTGTAGTGAACCGCGTGAGTTGAGCCGGTTTGGTGGTCACGTGAGCTGGACATTAAAGAGGTGTAGTGAATTCCATGTGAGTTGGACTGAGGTGAAGTGGACCCGCGTGAGTTGGGCCGAGTGTGTGTGTGTAGGATGAAGGGGAAGACTCACACTACTGGTGGAGGAGGCGATGAAGGCGTGAGGAGAGCGACTTGTTCAAGGTGAGCCCGTACCGCACCTACCCACCCGCCCACCCATCCAGCCGCCCACCTGCTCACCCGCCCATCATCCAGCCACTCAACACCACCCGGCCTGACCCTCCCTCAGCCACTCACACATTCCGAGGAAACTTGACGCCCATTCATTCCACCACCCGGCCGCCCATGATAGTAAACAGAGAGACTGGCCACCGCCCACATACCATCGTCTGGACTACTTATCACGCCGCCTGAACCACCCATCAAGCCACCCTGGCACACCAGCCCCCCCCCCCCTGGCGACAGACACCCTCAAGCCGCCCAGACACCACTTCACCCGCCCAGATATCCTCCAGCCGCCCACCCATTCCCCCCCAGCGACCCAGACACCCTCAAGCCGCCCTGATATCCTCCAGCCGCCCATCCAGCCGCCCACCCCAGCCGGCCAGCTTGGAGAGAATGGTGGTTGAGGGGAATTGGTCACCGCGCGTGGTCGTATTAGCCTGTATGGTAAGTAACTCAATAATTTCTGTCATCCTGATAAAATACAGTAAAACCTCCAAATAACGGACTTCCCTTTCCATATAATCCGTTAAATAGAGGTTTTCTTATCTAACGGACTTTTATCTATATAATCCGTTAGATGGAGGGTTTCACATCTAATGGACCCTCGATATAACGGACTTTCATCTATATAATCCGTTAAATCGAGGTTTCATTGTAATAATCTTTTATAATCCTTTACCGACTTTTATTCATTTCAACTTTTTAATAATCGTAAAAAAAATTATTACAAAATCTATGAAATAATTGTTAAAGATAATTATATATATATTTTTTTATTTAATATTTAGGAATTATTTATCTTTTCGGATTTTGTTTTTTTTGTTTTTATTGATTAATCGATTTTGTTTATATCTTTGTTTATTTGTTTTACGCCTTAGTATTGTTGTTTACTATCTTATGTTTTAAAACTAGCCTAGTGGGCCCCAGTCCTAGCGGGCCCCAGTCTTAGTAGGTCCCAGTCTTAGTAGGTCCCAGTCCTAGCGGGTCCTAAGTCGAGTAGGTCTCAGCCCTTGCGTGTCCCAGTCCTAGCGGGTCCCAGTCCTTGCGGGCCCCAGTCCTAGTGGGTCCCATTCCTAGCGGGTCCCAGTCCTAGCGGGCCCCAGTCCTAGCGGGTCCCAGTCCTAGAGGGCCCCAGTCTTAGTAGGTCCCAGTCCTCGCGGGTCCCAGTAACAACAGATTCCAGTAACAACAGATCCCAGTAACAACAGATCCCAGTAACAACAGATCCCAGTAACAACAGATCCCAGTAACAACAGATCCCAGTAACAGCGGATCCCAGTAATACCGGATTCCAGTAACAGCAGACCTCAGTCTTAATCAGCCAAGTCCTTTAATTTGTGTTTACGATAAAATAAAAAACACTTACGATAAAGTTAAATGACTCAAGACAAAATATAGTTCCTACGAGACAAACTATAAAAACCTTACGTCAAAATATAACTTACGTCAATATATAACATACGTCAAAATATAACATACGTTAAAATATAACTTACGTCAGAATATAACTGACATCAGAATATAATTTACGTCAAAATATAAAAGCTACAAGGTTTTGACAGCCTCTTGTCCCAGCTGGTCTTAATCTGCTTGAGGAGTTTTGAAAGTATGTGGTCATCTGAAGCTCGGTGTGTGTGTGAGACAGAGACAGAGAGAGAGAGAGAGAGAGAGAGAGAGAGAGAGAGAGAGAGAGAGAGGTCACCACTGCTCACGGCATCAGGATCAAGTTTTCTCAAATAACAACCTAACCTAACCACAAGACTAAACCAGATCATAAAATGCCTCCAGTTACCCTTCCAGTCTCAGGTCAATTTCCTCTCCATTCTGGATTTTAGTGTCGTAACTTTATCGAGTCACTTAGGTTAGGTTAGGTTCTCACATTTCCAAATGAGGTGAAAACATTTGACCTCTGCGATTGTGGAAATTTACACACACACACACACACACACACACACACACACACACACACACATACGGTCAGCAAACCCTGGTTCATTGCGATCAGATAAAGCCGCCGTGACATCATTACTTAACTATGACATCATTACTTAAACCGTGAGGTCAACTACTTTTCTCAGACATCAACTAATTATCGTAAAGACTTGTTCCAGTGATAAGACCCACCACGACCACCCAGCAGCCATTACTCACAAACTCTTATGAGCAAAACTGTGGACCCCTGTCAGCCATCTTTGTTTGTGACGTCACTCCCATCAAATGTAAACACAACACATCAGTATCCAATTGATGTTTATTATTTCACATCTTATGAGATAGTTACATCTCTCCTTATCATAAGATGCGACAGCAGCTCTATATATGACTCTCAGCGCCTCGTGAAGAAGAATAAATGAATGTAAATAATGACAGTCATGGTGTTGTGTTGCGCGGGGGTGCTTGTCACTTGTTTATTGGTGTGGTTCAGTTTTTCTCTCGTGTCCCGGTAGAAGGCGGGTTTGTTTACACTAGATCAGCTGGTACACACTGCCTGGCTTGAGGTAAACACTGTGTACGTGGAAGGTTGATACACACACACACACCCACACTGTCTGAGGTATACATTTACATAGTGTACGTGGGAGGATGGTACACACACACACTGCCTTAAGTATACACAGTGTACGTGGGAGGAAGGTACACACACACTGCCTTAAGTATACACAGTGTACGTGGGAGGCTCGGGTAAAGGGTGTTGAAGCCCCTGGTAAATCCTCCTTGACCTGCCGGGATCCTTCATGTAGACAACAGTGGGATTAATCCTACATAACCTAGTGTAATGTTAGTGGGGTGTGGGGGGTGAGGTGGTAGGTGTAGAGGGTGTGGGGTGTAGGTGATGGGTGGGGGGAGGGGGGGTGCATAGGGTGGGGGGAAAGTGGGGTGTATAGGGTGTGTGGGGAAAGAGGTGGTAGGTAGAGGGTGAGGGAGGCAGGCAGGTGTAGAGAGGGTGGTGGGGAGGTGGTGGGTGCAGAGGGTGTGGGGGGGAGGTGGTAGGTGCAGGAGGGTGTGGGGGGGGAGGTGGTAGGTGGGGGTGTAGAGGGTGTGGGGGAGGTGGTGGGTGTAGAGTGGCAGTGGGGAGGTGATGGGTGTAGAGGGTGGGGAGGTGGTAGGTGTAGAGGGTGTGGGGGGAGGTGGTGGTGGTAGAGGGTGTGGGGGGGAGGCAGGTGTAGAGGGTGGTGGTGGGTGTAGAGGGTGGGGAGGTGGTGGGGTGCAGAGGGTGTGGGGGTGGTGGTGGGTGCAGAGGGTGGAGAGGGGAGGTGGTGGGTGCAGAGGGTGTGGGGAGGAGGTGGTGGGTGGAGGGTGTGGGGGGAGGTGGGTGTAGAGGGTGGGGGGAGGTGGTGGGTGTAGAGGGTGTGGGGAGGTGGTGGGTGTAGAGGGTGTGGTGGGGAGGCGGGTGTAGAGGGTGTGGGAGGTGGTGGGAGTAGGGGTCCTAGCTCACAGTGGTTGGGTGGTGGATTAACACACTAGGTGGATACTGCTAACTCACAGTGGGTGGGTGGGATGAACAGTGGGTGATCCAGAGTGTGTGAGATAATCAGGACGCAAAACCTCAAAAATCCCCTCCTACACACACACACATGTAGATTACCCAGACGTGGTGTGTTTACGAAAAAGGGGGACGGAAGGGATGTAGGTAGAAGAGGAGAGGTTAGGAGAGGAGGGGAGAGTAGAGGAGGAAGAGGAGACGAAAGAATATAGTATAGTGATGATGTGTTCCACTGTGTTATTTGAGCCAGGACACACACACACACACACACACACACACACACACACACACACACACACACACACACACACTGCCCGGGCATTAACATCACAAGTAATGGCCGCCTGCCTCCCTCCCTCACGCTCATCATATTGCTACTTGTCTCCGTCCTTCTTACTTTCTTTACTTAAATCTTTCTTACTGTTCTTACTTATCTCCTTCCCTTGTTTATTTACCTTCATTTATTCCCCTTATATATTCCTCGGGTATGTCTGTATGAATGTCAACCTGTGGTGTAATAGTCAGTATTCTCGTCTCGCAAGTGAGCGGACCCGGGTTCGATCCCCTGGCAGTGTGAAATTACGGACCAGTTTCTTTACGCCATTTGTCTCTGTCTACCCAGCAGTAATTGGGGACCTGGATGTTTGCGGATCGTGTTCCGGGGTAATGGTTAGCCAGTGCAGTTGGCGAGCTGTCCGGTCTTCTCAGACTGGTCCTTGACACTGGGTCATGCAGCTCGTTAACTCAGGGTGTGGTTGTGGTGTTGGCGACAGCTTCTACACCTTAAACAAATTCACGCCGAGGTGGCCCTTGGGCCGGCCATCCTCGTTATACGAGGGGCAACCATTATATATATATATGCAAGTAAATCACTGAAGGTGCGCGTGATATAGGTATATATATATATATATATATATATATATATATATATATATATATATATATATATATATATATATATATATATATATATATATATTTATTTATTTATTTATTTATTTATTTATTTATTACGTATGTATGTGTTCTCTATGTTGATGTTTGCGTCAGGTTGTGGTGGGCGTCAGGAGCGAGTGTGCTGTGTCAGGGTAAATCGTGTGTAGGAATTTGTCCATAAGCAGTAAGAGTGTAGAGCCGATTTGAGTCTGTTTTAGTGTAGTGAATTTTTTTGTAACGTTTATATAGTCCGTTATATAGAGGTTTCGTATATTACGGATTTCGATTTTAACGGACTATACTACCTATCTAGTCTGTTAGATGGAGGGTTTACATATACGTAATGGACTTCGTTAGATGGTGGATTCACTCTATCTAGAAATGTTAAGAGGGACGCCGTGATAATATATCTATTTGTACCAGGTAAAATACACCACTTGGACGGAACTAACACACAACAATACTGTACAGGAGAGGTACAAGGTGATGGGAGAGTACAAGAGAACATTAACGACCCCACTACCGTCTCTCTGTCTCTCAGGGAATAAAATCCGTCTCTCTACTCAATTACCGCCTCACTATCCCTCCCTGTGACTACCAGATAATAATTACTTAAGATTCTCAAGGTCATATAAGTTCAGTCTCTTCACTCACTCGGATTAAGAGGACTCAGGTAGTCGGCATTAGAGACACAGTATTAAGTTGATACGATGTCTTTTCCTTGTGAGATGTCTTGGTGTCGTTGCTTCAGTGAGTCATTAAGATGCATCGTAGCGTCTCTAGTTATGGTGTGAACTTAATGAGTGGGACCCTTTGAGTATTTGTGGTCAGGTCGAGTAGTACCTTGGCTCACTTGTCCTTGTAGAGGTAATACTTGAGCGAGGAAATGGTCTATCAAGAATTCGAGGGCCACCTGGGTCATGGGTATAAATATGTAACAAGATGAGTTTCCATTATTTATGTGTGTACCCTAAGTCTAAAGTACACAGTTGAATTGTGGTGGTACACAGGTATGCTCAGCTAC